GTTGCGCGCTGCGAGAGAGCTTAGTGGTGGAGTGCAACAGAGGCTAGATAGGTAGAGATAGAGAGAATCGACGAGAGACGATCGTCGAGGAGAGAGTGAGAGAGGACCAGTGAGAGACGGAGAGAAGGAGCGAGAGAGAGACTCGTTGCTGTGTTGCTAGTCGGCATCCGACGTTCATGCGAGCACACAAACGCCGGCTCGCGTACCCCGTCGCTATCTGTGACCACCATGACCCAATGCACCGTATCCACCGAAGCGCCCACATTGTGTCAATCGGTGATTAGTCACTGTTGCCGGCGGCTCCTCGGTCAACAGGGTATTCACCCAATAGAAGTCATTTTCCCTTGCCCGCCTCTCTCCCTCGATCCCTCCGTGCACCGCAGCTGCCCAATGTAAGTACAGTGAACATCGCATGCACGCCTGCTGATCCGCCGTCTCTCCCTCTGCCATTCCCATGCCTACATCATGGCCATATGTGGAAGCCACCCCGTCGTAATCGCTCTAACACGATAACATGCTCTTCGTGCCGTTAGCTGCCTGCGGCTTTCTTGTTTCCGGTGGCTTCGACCCTTCTGGCGGTGTTGTCGGTGAGCCGGGTTTGCGCTGCGCTGATATGTGGAGGGTCGTTTGCCATCGCTTAGCTTGCTGCTGCTCTGCCTGCTCTGTATAAACAATCACGTTTCCTGCTCCTCGGCGTGTTTTGGGAACAACCGACGGAGCTTAACGGTGAGGGAAAAAACGCCGAAGAAACCAATGAGGCGCGGCGTTCTAGTTCAACGTAGTTAAGAGAACAAGGATATATATATATTAATCCTTCCTCCCTCCTTAACTCCCACCACCCGCCCACCCTCCCTCCCTCCCCCTCCCTCCCTCTCCCTACTCCTCCCCCTTCCCTCCCTCCATCCCTATCCCGCTCCCTTCCTAGCGCGCTCTTACCTTCCATTGCGCACTCTCTCTCTCTCTGCGCGCTCTCTCTCTCTTTCCCTCGCTCTCATAGATGCGCTTTCATGCGCATTAACGACGATTTGCAATATATATCCTTCCTAGCTTCGTTTACGATTGTCTTATAACAGATTGTATTTGTCACTACTGTTAATTACATTGGGATACCAGCACGATAATATCGCGGAAACCAGATAAACACTGAACGTCCTATAATAACATAATGTATCCCTGTTTATCTTTTGATAATGATAGGCTATATTTATGCAGTGTGATATTTTTATTCAGTACGTGAGACTTTTTAAACATAATGCTACTATGATGGTAAATGAAATCGCATTTTGGTGAAAACAACAAGGCATGACTCAAATGTCTGAGAAAATAATTTGTGATATAATTAGCCTATAATAAGCCAGATAGACATTTGATCGTTGCATAGTGCCGCTAGTACGTGTATGGTAGCGACAACTGTTCGAGACAAGCAATGATGCTTAATAACAACTCTGATGCCCTGATGGTGATTATCCCCAAGATTATCGACTATAATTGGAAAATATAATCGACATTATATTGACCGATATTATCGATTTTTGACTATAATCGACTGTACTGGAAATCCCATCTACAGACCTTTGCAAATACTAACTCTATAGCCAGCTGCCCCTGCATCTGCGTGTTCATGCAGTTGATCACAATCTATTAACCATAGCTGCATTACTTCTTATGAAGTTGAGGTGCTACAAGCAATAATAACAGAAGCACAGTACGTAACCGCCATAACCACCATTTATCGCCACGCAGCTATATATATACGTCAGTGTGGCGTCAGTTTTCGGTGTAAAAAAAAGAAAAATCTTCGCCGACCCTTGAAAGAAGTATATGCGTCTGATTTTATTGGGATGGGATCGCGCATCTGTCTTACGCCTGTAACAGGGCGTTGGCTGCAAGACGAATTCCTCTATAGGGCAACTTTAACAAGTGCGAATAGTCAACTTCATCTGCCGTTTTTAAACGTAATTGGAATATTGTCGCAGACCTGACGGCGCATGTACAGAAGAGAGAGAGAGAGAGAGAGAGAGAGAGAGAGAGAGGGGGGAGGGAGAGAGAGAGAGAAAGAGACCCATGGAGAGAAAAGTACGGGAGAGAGCACAGTGTTGGAAAACATAATATATGACGTGTGCATGAAGCGTATATATATATCCGTATATATATATATGCGTATATCCGTCTGACATGCGGCTTCGTGTCGGTGATACAGCAAATGTGAATCTAGGCACAAAACCACAAGATCGTTATAATTAAATCGAACGCTATTTTTTCTTGGTACCATGACTAGTTTTTAACTTAATAGCATCGAGTCATAAGCTCGTCGAACCCACTTGGGTCAGTTCAGTAAATTTGCTTCCCGCAGAGACGGTCGGTCTGTCCCTGATTTACACGTAAACGTTACTATTTACCCATTTTATTTCTTTGCAGCAAATGAAGTTGGAGAAGTGTGGAGTGTGTGAGAAGACGGTGTACGCCGCGGAACGCATTGAGGCTGGCGGTGTCATCTTCCACAAAATGTGCTTCAAATGTTCTGTCTGCAAGACGAAGCTCGAGTGCGTGTGCTTACTATAACCGCTATTTACTGCCACTGTCTATACTCTATTAGTGCATGAACTGTAGCTATTGTGAACTCGTATCGCTGGTAGAAATGTTAAAATTCATGCTGGTGCTGCTTGGTAGGGGAGGGCGAGTCAGGGGCGGCGAAGCCAAGCGATATTAAATAGATCATGTATTAATGTATAATGTATAATGTATTAATCACTCCCGCTCTCTATATTCATACCAATCTCTCTCGCTTTCTCCAACTTCCCCTCCCTCTCTCTCTCTATCTCTCGCACACACTGGCTTCTCCTGCCTCTTTCCAACTCTCTCGCGCTTTCTCCTGCTTTCTCTTTATTTCCTCGTAATATTTTGTCTCCTCTTGCCTTCCTTCTTTTTAACTTGCTCTTTCTGTCGCCCACTCTCTCAATCACGCCTACTTTCCCTCTCCCTCTCACCCCTCTCGCTTCCCTCTCACATTGGCTTTCCCGCGTTCTAATTAAATTTTTTCGCTGTGCGTTTTCACCAGCCTGGGCAACTATCAGCAAAACGAGGGCATCATCTACTGCAAGAAGGACTTCAGAGATGCAGTGACAGCGAAGAACGTTCAAGCGGCTGTTGTTTAGAACCTGACTACGCATTAACAATACTTGCCGGGATAGGAAAATAGAAGAAGGGGACGGGAAAGAGTGCAAGACGTATCACAGTACCGACGCCACTCAGCAAAATACGCCACCAAAGTAGAATCACCAACGTAACGTAACTGTTATCATTTGAACATGGCATCGCAAACCAGAGATTTGTATTTTTCTGCGCATACAAATTAATTGTGCAATCATCACATGTTGTTGTGTCCACATCAAGAAAGGCAGATGTAGGCGTACTATCGTTAGAGCTCTATTTGATTTGCAGTTTATTGTAGTTATATATATTCTCTCTGCGAATACTGTAAATTTTCTGAAACCCTTGCCTTTGTTTAAAGAGTTGATAACAAAGCGAGAATCGAAAGACAGTTCAGAGTTCATCACGAATTCGGAGAACATCGGAGTTCAGCATAAATGGCGCACATCACAATCGTTTTGAACGTACTGTAATTGGCGTGATAAACATATTCTGTGAACAGTTTTGAATTTTGCCTACGGAATAGTAGTGAAACATCGAGGAACAGGAAATAACGCGTCATCGTTCCCACGACGACGCGTATCTAACATTTTTATCTGCAATTTCAGTCGACGGAGGGCGCCACGGCGTCTTTGGCATAGCTACACTGCTGGTAGTGACGCATGATATACACGCACATTGTGCGGGTGCGTGTGGGTACAGTTCCCCGGTTCACAAAAGTTCAGTAGTTCGTATAAAAATACAATTGGACAATTTACAACGTCTATAATATACGAAATACAAGAATACACAGCAGACTATAAGCAAGCCTGAATGTATATATAATATGTGGACGGTTATGTTTGCATAAATTGTTATATATGTTGATACAGGGAGGGTGGCTAGGTGGCAAAACTGATATAGAGAGTAATTTTCACTTTCAAATCATTGGATCTCATCTTATTGCAAAGCACGACCACGTCTTACACCCGGTCGACCCAGTTCAACAAATCTCACGGACACATGTGTCGTCACACGCTCGGTTATGTGGCGCCATCGCTCGGGCAAAACGCGCAACAATGTGCGACGCGTGGGTCGCATAACGAATACTGAAGAGACCCGACATGCGATTGGTCAATGCAATTTCTTCTACTTACTCTACATGTTAGTAACTTAACTACAAACCACAAACAATCACGCACACATGCACGCACGCACGTACATGCACACGCAATGACGCACATACATGTATGTATATAGCTCTACGACAAGGTGTAAAGATATACGGTAGAAAAACGTATTCGAACGACTTCGTATCAAATTGTATCGTTGATGGCATGAGCGCATCGTTGATCGGCGGGTAATATGCACTGATCTCTCTATATGTAGCCTGTTCTGCTAGCATCTATGACGACATACGCATATACGCTCTTCTATGACACTATCTGTCATAGGAAGATTCTTCCTATGACAAATATTGTTGTATGTGTTGTGCGATGTATGTTGAATGTTCACACATTACCGCCCCTAGTAGCTGCTATATTGGCTACCCAGTTTGCAAATAGAAATCAGTCGTAATAAGAGAGATCCGAGTGATATGATTGTATCATTACGATCGACGTATCGGAGCGTATCGGCGACGAATGTATCGGAGAGTATCGAGCTTGCTAGATGTTCGTCTCCAGTGAGTTGTTGTATGCCGGATTAACGTACGCCTGCGCGTCCACTCCCTCCGTGTCCATCGTATAGATAGGCTTGTGTTTCTCGACAACTGGCTCCCTCTGGCGGCGAGGCTTGTACATACCCGTACGATGTTGGTCCAGTGCTGGTCCCCACTCCTCAGTCGGCTGACAGAGAAAGCAAATTTTCTGCAACGGTAGAGAAAAAAGCCGGAGCTGGTTAATTTTCTATCACAGAGCTTAGAAGTGAAGAGAGAGAGAGAGAGAGAGAGAG